TGGGTCAGACATTCGATCTACAAACAACGTATTGTACCTAGGTGTATAAAAATTTGTTTCCTGTGACAAAACATAGAAGAATTAGAATTCCCTCTTATGGAGATATATTGCCGTGAATACCGTTTTGATGTGAGTACTGGTATTGAGTTAATATGGTATGAATGATTATAATAATTATTATTAGTGCTTATGTTTATTATGATTAACAAACAACGTAATTGGTGCAATGAGATTGTTAGAGTGATTAAAACGTGGCTGGAAGGGGAATACCCCTTGAACCATGTCTGTATTGACGCGGAGATGCTTAGGCGGGGTTCAGGAATCAAAAAACCTGGCCAAAGGTTCAAAAAAGGGTTTGATCGAAAAGTGTCACGTTTAAAATAATCAGCTGTAGTGAGATGTGGCAGAATGGATTGCGAAGTCGAAGGTATGAATAGTTGTCAGTGTATGACATTGTATTACTTGCCAATCGACACACGACACTATTCGACAACAATATGTAATTGATATTTTTTCCGTAATTCGTGAATTCAGAAAGAGTCAAGAAAGTCCGGTCTACTTTGAATAGTAGCACGTGTACCAGATATCCAGTTAATGAATATGTCAGTTTTAGCTACGCTGACTGCAACTGCAATGATGCGACATTGAACAATTTTACCTAAATAATGCAATGAAAACATAAAACTAAGCGCGATCAAAACATTTTTAGCAAACATAGCTGGCCATATTAGAACCGCTATTTCGACGTTTGAACAATCGATGTCAAATTTGTTATTGGCGTCCCTGAAAACATCTAAAACTCAAGTTTCAGCTCAATCAAAACAATTTTTTCACATACTTAGACCGGCAGGGGTATTATGTTAAAAACCTAAAAAAACGTCAAACGTTAGTGTGCAAATAGTTCATTCCACGTTTGCTCGGTATGATCGCTGTTCGGTGACGTTTAAGCAACACGTACAAAACGAGTTCACAACAAGTGTACAAGTTGACATCTTGTAAAAAACCTACTTTATATCACAAAAAACCTACGAAATGTCAAAAAAAACCGACAAAATGTCACTTTTCAAGATTCGTGATACCCGTGCGGTTTTTCAATCTCTCTGGTTAACTTCCAAGGTAACGATAACTTGGAAGTTAAGTGCCAGTGGTCTGTGAATTCGTTTTTCCGGTTGTAGTTACCAATCAATGAACCGTGTTGTGCCTCAACATATGTCACTGTCAAGCACCTTAGGCTAGACATTGCGGTTTGACAACAACTTTACAATTATCAAATACATGGTCCTCTGGTTGAAGTTGACTACCACTTTATGACAAACTTGATGGTGAAAAGCTCTTGGACACTTGAAAGTTAACTTCTGGTTAGCAGACAAGTTGCAGTGAACTTACGATTGAAAAACCGGCATGGCTATTATGTAAAAGACCTATAAAACGTCAAAAAAAAAAAAACAAGAAAGTGTCATCTTGCAGACTAGGTAGTTTTTAGCGTGAAAATAGTTCATTCCACGTTTGCTTGCTATGATCGCTGTGAGCGTCCATCTATGGAGGAATGACTCAACTACACGCATTGTTGGTTGCAGAAAGCAAGTATATGTTTTGTGAAGCCGAGTAGTCTGTAGTATTTATCTCTGAGATGTGAAAGAAAGAGAGCTGGTTGAATAGCAGGACCGCATCTGGATTATTATGTCTAACGGGCTGCATGTGTATTAAATCAGTGATATTTGCTGTGTGAGAAAATTATACTAAGTGACATATAAATCCGAACATGCAGTTTAAATGGCTTTATTTTAATAAAATTTTGTATAAGCACTTAATGAAGCATAATAAGTAAATGATAAAAATTTCAAATGATTGCACTGATTTAAAGCCCTTTGACCTTTAATAATGTGTGGATGCACCTTCATGTGCTACGCATTCTCCAACGCGCCTAGGCATGCTTCTGATCAGGTGGTCAATGTCCTCCTGTGGTATCTCATTCCAGGCAACCACCAACTCCTCTCGAAGTGCTTCTAGAGTCTGAGGAGGACGTTGCAAATTGAGCAATCTCCTACCCAGCATATCCCACACGTGCTCAATAGGGGATAAGTCGGGAGATCTTGGTGGCCATGGTAACAATGTGACATCATTATGTTGAAAGAAGTCTATTGTGACTCTTGCAACATGTGGTCGGGCATTATCTTGTTGGAAAGTTGGATCTGCCAGGGTGTCAAGATAGGGTAAAAGATGGGGTTCTAGAACTTGGATATAACGCTGCGCGTTCATGTTACCTCTGATGAAGATTAAAGGTGACCTGGAACCATAAGCTATAGCGCTCCAAACCATAACTCCAACAGTGTGATGAACATGTCTTTCAACAAAAAACTGTGGATTCCTCCTTTCACCATGTCGCCTTCTAACCCTGGCACGACCATCGTGCATGCGTAAACAAAATCGAGACTCGTCACTAAAGACAATTACTGTTCCATTCCTGATCCCAGAGTGACCGTTGTCTGCACCAGTCAAGGCGATTACGTCGGTGTTCTCGAGTTAAAGGGAGGACCCAGTGTGGCCGGTATGAAAACAAGCCAAAACTTCTCATTCGTCGGTAAACACTTCGCATGCCAATAGGTCTTCCATGTTCTGCAAACCATTCATTTGCAATGGACCTGGTAGTGGAGAAACGGTCCCTTAAGGCCAATAATCTTAGGCGGCGATCTTCACGGTCTGTTGTTCTACGGCGGCATCCAGTGCCCCTTGCTCTTTGCGTACGGCCTTCTCGAAGCCATGCCTGACAACACCTAACCACAGTGTCTACACTCCTTTGCACTCTAACTGCAATTGCCCGAAAAGAAAGTCCAGCTTCCCGAAGTCCCACTATACGGCCCCTATCAAACTCACTAAGTTGACGAAATCGTACAGGTCTCCGTACTCTAGGCATCGTAACCGATCGTAAAGGATGTCAAGAACCAAAATCCGCCAACGTTGATTATTTACTGCGGCTGAAATATTTATTTTTAGATCGTTAGTGAATTAAAAAAAGGCAGTATAAAATTTCTTTACTTGTTATTTACAGTAAGATAAATACATTCACCAACTTTTATTAAAATAAAACCATTTAAACTGGGTGTTCGGATTTATATGTCACTTAGTATATTATTGAATATGCTGCCAATAAAGTATATCTATTAGCTGTGCCCGACGGGTTATTCATATGTTGTCCTTTCTGAAGACATGTTATGTCCAAAGTTATGAATTACGATTTTTCCCGTTTTTTTGTGTTTTCAAAAACTTTGTGGAGCACTAAGGGTAATCGCCACCGCATCTGCGTTATGTGCAATTAAGGCACATCGCAGAAAAGTTAGGAATGACGCATCACACATCAAACATTTTCGCAATGCCTCACATCTAGGCGCTGATTTGTATTTTCTATTGACATTTAAGTGACTGGAATTAAAAAAATAATGTAATAATCTTTTAACTCTCATACATTTTCCCGTCAGTAGCATATTTTCTCACCCGTTCCTTCACCAACCAGGAATTTTCTTTTCTTATCTCTCTCACTTTTGAAATTCTACAAAATTTGCATATGTAATTTCCAGAATGAATAAGAAAAGGTGGATGTGCAACTATTTGAGACAAAAAACCAATAGAATTATCATCAACACATATTATTAGCACACAAATCCTTACTATGCACCTATGCACTGTCGCTTCCTTCTAGCTATAGTATACAACCTACAGCTTAGACCTCCAATAATGCCATCTCTGAAGCAGATTTTACATCACATCAGAGCCAAGCATTGATAACTGAAGCATCATCTCTATATAAAAAAAAACGCATGTCACTTTTCAAGATACGTAATACCCTTGCCGGCCTAAGGTGAGCCTCGTTCCCTCCCACTATTCAACTTTGCCTCGAACGTGTGTTTTAAGCACTTCATCAGTGTACTAGCTGCCTTTTAATGGGTAACCGCTAGTTAAAGTACGAGTAGTTTACGTGGCAAAGTTTCGATACGCTTGAGGATGTTGATGGATTGTTTACCTAGATTAAAGTCCCGTAACGTTGATCGACATGTTAAATTGGCCAGACGGCGGTTTGGTCCGAGGACGTCGATCGTGCGTATAGCCATGCATATGACATTTAGCATTCACAACAGTCTACATCTAGACGTATCATACTCCAGTATTTGCGTCTACGTTTTATCCTTATATGAAATTCAATTCCGTAAGCTTCCTAGTTCTGCTTAAAATGTCACAACAACCGTAAACGTTTCTTATGGACTACTAAGCAGAGAAAAATCGAACACCAGTAACTCGGTAGGTGTTTGTAATAATTTCGCAACACTGATAATAAATGATAGAGTTATGTATAATAATGTAACAGTTATTACACGTTTGAGAATATTCTCACTACAAGTTCCTGCTTGGTATAGTTGTATCGAATGCTGAATATTCATAATCAATCACTATGTACGCATAATCCAAGCTGTCATATTATTTTTATAATGCACGCCTTTCAAATAACGATAATTGCCATCAATAAGGAACGTTTCGTTCTACGATGTATACAGGGTGTCTAATAAGTACCACGGCAAACTTAAGAAGAAGGCTTACCTCCCAAATAACAAAACTTACCTATATACACACATCATCAAAAGTGTTGAACCCCCTGTATAAATCCGTCTAGAGGTACGTTATCTACATTCTGTTTTTGAACAAAAAATCTTTATATATTTAGCAAGCAAAAAACGCAAAAAACCGTTGAGATAAAAATGTGTTTGGATTTTTATAGAAATAAGTCAGTTTAACGGTAGTGTACACTGTAACTTTTAAAATGCCGCGAGCTGAAATTTCTGGTTTTGATAGAACACGAATAGTAGCCCTGTTCCAAGCTGGATTTTCAAATCACCGAATAGCACTGGATTTGGGTATCCCAAGAAGTTCGGTTATTCGAACAATTCAAAGATTCCAAGAAACTGGCTCAGTTGAAAATCGGCCACGCAGTGGGCGTCCTCGAGTAACAGATGATAGGGAGAATCGTTACATTGCTCTGTTTGCCCGAAGGAATAGATTTACAACAAGTACAGCTATCAAATCACATATTCAATATACCTATCGAAGAGTTATTTCCACTTCTACCATCAGAAGAAGATTGCGAATGGCAAATTTGCGCCCTAGAACACCTTTACGGGTTCCACGTCTTACTCGTAGACAAGTTGCTGCTCGTCTCCAGTGGCCTAGAGAATATCAGGAGTGGCTTTTACCACAGAGGCGAAATGTGGTATTTACAGATGAGGTTAGGTTTGGACTGGTGAGTGATGACTGTAGAATAAGGGTTTGGAGAGAACCAGGACATCAACAGCGACTAAATTTGGCCCGAGAAGTTGTCCCATATGAGGGCGGATCAATAATGTTTTGGGGAGGCATAATGTTCAACCACCGGAGTCCTTTAATTCAGATCCACGGGACAATGACTGCAGAAATTTATGAAGAAAATGTCATACAACCCATTATTCAACCTTTGCGAAATGAATTCGGTAACAACTTCATTTTTTCATTTTTATGGATGATAATGCAATGCCACATAGAGCGAGTAGGGTCCAGCGGGCTCTAGAAAGGGGCCAAATAGTATTGCCATGGCCTGCGAACAGCCCAGACATGAACCCCATTGAAAACATTTAGGACACTATAGCTCGAGCCGTATGGAACAGAATAGATCCAACTACAACCCTAAATGAGCTGGCTGCAGCAGTAAATGAAGAGTGGAACAATTTACCCCAAAAAAACATTAATCACCGAATAATACTCGTAGGAATGCCAAGGCATGTTAACGCACTGCTAAGATCTAGAGGACACCGAACTGGTTATTAATTATGTTTTATTCTTCTTTAGAATAATTATTTTTCTTTAATTTTGATTTTTATAAATAAAATTTTTGCTACCTTACTTGTTCAACTTACTTTTTCTTTTCATATTAATTAAATTGATTTAAAGTTTTAAGTTAAATGAATATAGTAAAAATATCCCCAATTTAAAATCTATCAAAGATTGAAATTAGAAGGCTACAATTTCCCAGTACGCCATGGGGTCCAACACTTTTGATGATGTGTGGAAAAGTGTCACCGTTTTTGAGGTATTGAATTTTTTCTTAAATTTAAAAAAAAACGAACCTTTTCATCTGTGGTCTTTAGCTGCATCTACAAATAAGGTTATACCTTGTTCATTTTTTCTATAACATATTTCTAGATAATTGCTTTATCATATACAAATGCAATGTAGTTAAAAATTATTAAGGAACCACGATAAAATAAGGACTGTTTTGGGATTTATAACCTCCTGATATTGTTTCATCAACTTTCATAAAATTATATCAGGCAGCAGATAATAATAATCGAAAAAATATTTTTAAGTTTCTAGTTCATTTTTTTAACAAGCTATACAAGTATAAAGCTTGTTTTTGAAAATGTTTTTCATTTATCTTTTAGTTTTTAGTATCTTCTTATTATAAATTTTCGTACTGTATTCAGAATGACATCGCACTGCTTGATTTTTTCTCTCATACATCCCTTTAACTTGATACCTATAGCATAGGGGCGACTATAATAATTACAAACGCCATTTTGGAAGCGGTTGGTATATTGAATTTAAAATGACGTCACTTCGCTTATTCTGTTTCTCTCAGGCCCTTTCATTTGATGCCCATATCAAAGGGGTTATTTTGATGAATCGCCATTTAGTAGCATCCGCCATGTTGGATTCAAAATGACGACAGTTAATTCATTTTGTATCGACACGGGAACCTAACGTGGGTACCTAATTTCAGCTCAATCGGTTAACTGGTTCAACATTTAGCTCCAAGAGTTGTCCCACCATATACATAGGGACCAACATACAATCAGGTCAACTTAAATGAAAGCTTGTAAAATGGAAATCCAACAAATGGTAGAGTTACCTCTGTCAGGTAGAAATGAGTGAAACAATTAAAGAGTTTATGATCATCTTCCATCAAATTATTATGAATCGCAAGACACAATACTGTTTACTCTAATGGCAAGTTTATTGAAACATTAAGCTACTGAGAACCATGAATATTATTTTGTATGCCGGACAGCTGCAAGAGACAAAGCAAGATTTCTGCTTATCTTGCTTTCATTATCGACAGTCGATAGCTGTAATGAGCAGAATCCGAATCGGTCTTTCAATGAAGGTGGATCCGGTGAAAACAGGACTGTACTAGCCCCGATGAACAAGTTTACAGGCTTTTCAAAATCACATCGAATGAATCTTGATATAAAGTGAAAAAATGCATTGAAAAAACATGCTAATAATAGTTCCTTTGTCAACATTTTGTCATTGTTCTGGCTGCAGTCATTAAAACTCAACGCCGTCTGGAGCAGGCATCAGGAGGTTGTGCTAATTGTCAGCGATTATCAGTTCATTTGGGTAAAATTCGGTTCATGAGCTCAAACACACTCGCGCTAAAATTCAGTAGCTGAGTGCTAGTGAACGCAGTCAATATCAGTTTAACCTTAAATATTTCACGACACTTCTGCTTAACCATTTGTACTTGAAACAAATAGTATCAAGGCAGCAGGAACGGTAGAAAATTTATCTCCCAATTAGCTAGACATGTCATAAGGGCCAGGCGGACTAAATTATTTTGTGACTTCAACAGTGGACTGTAGCTTATTTGTTGGCAGGTTTTGTTTTAATTGCTAGACTTTGAGAGATTTTGATTTTCGAAGAAAGAATTGCTGCCAGCTTGTGATGAGTTATTTTGAAAGACACTGAGTGTAGTAATTATAAAAAAAATCACAAATCATCACAACACTTCCAACCAGCATTAGTTCACATTATTAGAGCAATTGTCTTGAAGTACAGTTTGGGAACGTGCTTCAAGGTGGGCAATAATTGTAATCAAGAATACAGTAGTTTGCTTAGATCTATATCTTTTTGTTCAAATATATATGTCAATGTACATAGATTTGAAACTTATCCTACGAACGTATCTCTGATCCAAGAGATGGAAAAGCTTTCGTCTGTAGAGTGAGCCAAAAATAACTAATACGGACCTGTCAATATAGCTGGCGGCTATTCCGATAAAATCGATATCATTACAAATTCTTGGAACGTCCACCTCTAATAAACGGCCCATAAAGGTGACCGGAGCTGGTTCGAATGTACTGGTCGACCTACTCTTCCGTCTACAACACACATTGACATACCCATGAAAAATTGTCTTATGTAGACTGTAGTCGATGGTAGGTTTTGCAATAATGTTCCAATACCTTTGATTCTTTACGTTCTCCTTTTTTACTTGTTACCAAGAAGCGGGTTTATTTTGAACTTAGGTAGATCTTTTGGGCAGAGGTTTTTTTGACAACAAATACATCGCAGACCTTAAAACTGCCGACTGACCTCAAATCCATCACATCACTTTATTAACCTGAAACTAAGTCAAACTAATAAATTAAAGATAAATAGGTGGTAGATGAGTGAATATACAGTCATTACAACCACAATATATAAAATATTCTGTATTGATTTAGTCACTCCTATGATATATGAGAGCAATATAACAAGCAACGTGACATCATTCTAAATCTAATATGGCAGCCACCGCAAATTGGCAAATTATAATTACCATAGTCACCCCTATACTTTGGGTATCAAATGAAAGACCTTGATGAGGGAAACAATAACCAAAGTGATGTCATTCTAAATCTAATATGGCGACCGCGGCAGAGAATGGTGATTTATAATTTCCACGGTCATTACTATGATATGGGTATAAAATGAAAAGGCTTACTGAGAGAAACTCAAGCACTATACTATTTGTGTCTAAATACTTAAATGCAAAAAAATAATAAAACAAATAAACATTTTTGAAAAAAGTTTTATTCCGCTGGTAGTAAAATGAAAATTTAAAAATAATTTTTCCTGATTGGAAGTTATAAGCAATAATCTTCGTCTCAAGTTTTCAAATAAAAGCGTGTTATGCGTTGACAGCAAGATCGAAAAAGATGGAAGGAAGATGCTTTTATTTGAAAACTTGAGATGAACGAACATGATTATAGCTTTTATATTTCCAATCCTCAATTTGAGTTAATAGCATCTCTAGGTGCTAGGAGATCAAAGCAAAGCTGCTGATGTGGACAATAATTTGCCATAGAGTGAACTAGGAATAAGTAACTACGCTGGGATGACGAATCATGGCCAATAAACCTTGTATTCATAAAAGACATATTTAGGGCCATAAGATTAGCCCTGCAGAAGGAGCTACTTGGTATTGTCCTCAAGAGAGCACGGTGTAGCCCCTTATACCACATTTCAGAGGAATCCAATTTTCCCGGATCACACAACTACGATCTGTAAGCAAGCAGATTTATCGCATCTTATCCGGGGATGGTCAACACAACTTTATCAGAATGCAGGTGGATGATATTTTTTATTTTATATGCATATTACATAATTTACCGTCTCTTTTGAAAAATGTTACGCAACATGGAAATATGTGCTAGTATATTTTGTTATCTTTCTTACACAACTTTTATAAACTATGAAACTGCAAGTGTATCTTAATTGCAAGACATTTGATGAATACTTTTTCCGATCCTTTGGATCAAATAACTGTTGAGGTTAAAAAAGGTTAAAATGTTAAAATCCGTTCTGCAGATTTTACATAACCCGCAGAAATGTCACTTCTATCTTCTGTAATGAGCGTAGCTGGCGGTGTGTTTATGCAATTAACAGTGAACCAACTTTGTTCAGATTGACAGTGCTTCTTCTGCGTATACCGACTTAAGTGATTTTAGCTAAAAGGTCGACCAGAAATTGTGAGTGAGAGGTTCATTGAACTTGTAAAATAGTTACGTAATCGTTGCACTTATACTAATAGTCTTACTACAATTGGATATTTACTTTGATGGAGCTTAAAAGAATTTGACACAAACGAAAAAATAACATTAAAAATAAAAGAGAGTTTACATACTATTGTAGGTGGAAATTTCGAAGATACATGGATATCTGGACGTGGCATCAATTACAGTTATTGTGTCAGAAGCAAAAGAAATTATGATTCTGAGGATGATTCCTATATATGTACATATCTTCAAATAATTTCTAGATGTGATTAAAAACACTTAATTTCCAATACTTTGACTTTTGGATACAATATCTATATAATACGATTTAGACCTTAATTAAAATATCTTAAAAATGATGCACATCGAAGAATGATTATTTTTCTATGGAAGAAAGTTTTAGGATACGTGTACAATTACATTTTTACTATTAATACAATTATTATTCTAGC